TGATAATGAAGAATAATAGAAATAATAATAATCTTTATTTTCAAAAAAACTTAATATAAGCACTTTTGAATAGTCAAGTTTTTTGATTCTACTCTCATTCGGAATGCAGACTCATCACAAGAAGAATGAGCAAGAAACTTGTGTGTTGCTCTTTTAAATAAATATTGATTTACTTATATTTAATTAACAACAAGGATTAGGCATGCGACAATCAACATAGAAACCGCTACGCACTTAATCTCTGTTCAATCAGATAACAATGAAGAAGACAAATGGTACTAACTTGAGATGGTACTTTAGGGTCATCTTATTAGCGAACACTTTCCCACAGCAGTCACATTGCGGGCGCTCCCTTCGACATATACTTCTATGGTAAGTCAACTTCGATTTTGTACTGAAACAACAATTATTATAAAATTAAAACAAACTGCCAGATACACTTTTAGGTTCAGTTCGCAAAATAGAACTGAACCGCATTGAACTCACAAGAAACGAAAGTAATTACCTGAATATAACTGGAGCGGCACTGGTTCTGCTGGCAAGTAAGTATGAAAGAGCACAATTGCAAAATAGAACTGAACCGAACTGAACTGAAAAGAAGCGATTATTTCTAGTAAATACGTAAAGAAAACTAGTAACGTAAAATAATTACCTGATGAACTCCACAAGATCTGCACTGGTGCTGCTGGCAAGTGTACACGAAGTGCAATTGCAAAATAGAACTGAACCGAACTGAACTCACAAGCGACGATTCTTTTTTATTACCTGAACATAACTCCGCAAGAGCCGCACTGGTGCTGAGGACCTGTATGTTCGAAGTGCGTGCCGCAGCATGAATCTCTTGAGGGTAGTTCATATATCACAGCGGCAACATCGGAACGCAGACGAGTGGAGCGCGCGGTGGGCGGACACGTTCTCTTTTAGGTAAGGTCGCAAAATAGAACTGAACCGAACTGAACTCACAAGAACTGAAAGTAATTACCTGAACATAACTGGGTAGGATTCGCACTGGTGCTGCAGGCCGGTGTGTACGAGCGCGATTGATAGTAATAAAATAGAACTGAACCGAACTGAACTGCCAAGAACTGAAAGTAATTACCTGAACATAACTGCGTAGGATCGCACTGGTGCTGCAGGCCGGTGTGTACGAGCGTGATGGATAGTAATAAAATAGAACTGAACCGAACTGAACTCCCAAGAACTGAAAGTAATTACCTGAACATAACTGGGTAGGATTCGCACTGGTGCTGCAGGCCGGTGTGTACGAGCGTGATTGATAGTAATAAAATAGAACTGAACCGAACTGAACTGAACTGACTAGTATCGACTATTCTTAAATCACCTGAACATAACTCCGCAAGAGCCGCACTGGTGCTGCGGCCCCGTATGTACTAGTGCGTGCCGCAGCATGAGTCTCTTGAGGGTAGTTCGTATGTCACAGCGGCAGCATCTGAACGCGGACGCGTGGAGTGCGCGGTGGGCAGACACGTTCTCTTTTGTTAAGAAGTACGCTTGGCACACGTCGCATTGATGGCACTTTTTGCCTTTCTGTAACAACAAATAGATATAACGGCCTCACTTCCGATGGTCGCGGATTCGATTTCTCGCAAGGACATTTGGCTTTCTATAACAACAAATAGATGTAACGACGACCTCAATGTAGTAAACTTTTTTTACTACAGTTAATATTGTTTAACCTTTATTTGTGTATTAAAGTTTTAATAAATAAATATTGGCAGGCATCGCAGTAATATGCCATTTCATAGGCAAAAGTAAATTCTTATTAATAGAACTGACAGTTTTGATATCTTTCTGATGGTAGCGGGTTTGATTTCTCGCACAGACATTTCGCATTTCTCTAACAACAAATTGAACAAATTGAATGACAATCTCAATGTTCTATCGTTTTAGTACACGCTATTAAAAATAATATTGTAAGAACCATTGTGAGTGGTAAATAACAATAATTATTAATAAAAACAGTTATTACAAATGTTTGCATCGCGAGAGGAATCGAACCCATAGACAACTGAGCCTGTCTAATGTTTCTTTTCACTTACCGGCCTATGTTTTCCATTCATATGGTCATTCATTAGTTTCTCCGTATTGAAACCTATAAGGCACATATCACATTTGTATTTCAGTTTGCTGAACACCTTGCTGGTGACATCTTCAGACCTGATCTGCCACATTTCCTCCTCAGTCATCGTGTACACCTCCACCAGACCTTCAGGCAGGTTCTTCAATTTGCGATGGTTGGGTTTAACTTCTGATGGTTTTATATCCTGAAAATGCAGGATAAAATGCATTACTAGGGGCAGGATATATAAGGACCAGGAGTAACCTGACATTGGGGGCGACGCTGGAGTCGAGTCACAACGTGAGTTTCAAGGCGTTACTGACCCGGGTCTCCACCAACATGCTGCCCACCTTCATGAAGGAGGACTACTGGCCGAAGGTTGTGGTTTATCGGAGCTACCGTGGCAGATTGCCGTCATTAGTGCCGTGATCATAGAGACTATTTATTATTATTACATATGTATGTTGGTTTATAAGGGAAAAATATACGGTAGGGAAAAAATTCTAATGTAAAAACTTGACGTTAATAAGCGGCTAAAAAGTCTTACTTGAAAAAATGATTTTTGAATTTGAATTTGAATTTAAATTTAATATGGACCATTATAATGGTATATAGAATTACATCAGCCTCGTCATACTCGGGAACGAGTGCTGCTTGCAGGGACTGGTCTGCTCTAATCACTACGACTGATTTAGTCTTATTGTGTATTTAACATTTTGAGTGTAATACATTACATTTACTTCAAAACTGGTATTTAAGAAAAAGATAAAACTTTTTCTACTAGACATTTCCTAGCATTTATATATTTTTTTTTTTTTTTTTAAAGTCTTTGGCTCTTAGGTGATGGTCTACGTCAACAGTTATTTGTATTTGAATATATATTGATATACATTTTGATTTATTTATTTTATTATTTTTTTCTTCTATTAAGTATTTTTATTAATGATGAGTTTAATTAAATTTTGGTAACATTAAGATTGTTGAGTGAATATGTCGCTGCACGCGATCGCACCACCACTGGGCTGCTACTGAAAATCAGTGTTTTACTCGCTGAGCAAATTGTTCACTGAGTAGCTCAACCCTTTCGTATCCCTGTGGCACCTAATATGTATTTTAATGTTTATTTTATGCGGAAGTTAAAGTGTTATGTGATATCTTTTTTATAATTAATTACTATTCTTGTGTTATTTGAATTTTGTTTGTACACTTTGTTATCGGGATACGAATAAAGATTTTATCTATCTATCTAGTATTAGTTAGTAGTTTATTTAAAAGACAGCAAGTTTCTTGCTCGTTCTTATTGTAATGAGACAGCTTTCCGAATGAGCGGTAGATTAAAATAATAAGTATGATTATTTTAAAATGCTTAAAGTTTATTTGATTAAAGGATTTTCTATTCTATTCTAAACATCTCCTTGGTGGTGATTATTGCCTGCCTGCGTCAATGGTTTTACGCCAGTGGGGGATGATAAGATGAATTAGCCCCTTCTATAATAGGACTAATGGCCACATTACTAGGAATGTGCCATATCAGGTTATCAGTGGAAATAATCTTGGTTAATTTGCTATGATGGGACAACTGATCTGACTTCATTCTTAATTTATCATCCTCCACTGATGCACCTTCAGCGAATACCAGTAACACAGATGGGAGTACTATATCATATTCATCCATAAAAATCAATCTCTGATTACCCCGTTGGGGATCCTTGCACTTCGATTATGTAATCTTTGTGTTATTTCAATTTATTCAGTGAAGCACATTTTCGTAAGTAAACAAATTAAAATTAAAGAACCTGTACACAGTCTTCAGACCTATTTATTTGCAACAGATTAATTTTGAAGCTATATTCCATATTTTAAAAAATAGTTGCTATTCTTTATGGTCAGCTGAAGCGAGCCGCAATAATTTAACAAACGAACTAAGTTTCCTAATAAAATCGCAACTATGTGACCTGACCTCATTATATGCTCATCCTATCATTCTATTGGTCTATTGGTGCCCCGAATATCGCATCACAATTCCATTTATATTATACAAAAATATTAGGGAGTCTTGTCGTCATTTTGTATTTATACAGATCACTGTAAACAAAATGGCGGTTGTAAAAAACATGAAACCATAAATATTGATTTAACTATTTATTATATACACTTATCAATATTATAACAACAGATTATATAACAATGACGTATTTTATATTTGTACTAACTAGCTGTACCGACAAACGTTGTTTTGCCATATAATTTATTTCTGGATAGGGTTAAAATTTATCCTCTAGGGTTATAAAAATACCTAGGACCTTATTCTCAGATCTACCAATAATTCATTAGAATCTGTTAAGACGTTTCGGAAGAGTTTCGAGATTTTTATATATTTCTAAAAATCTCGAAACGTCTTGGATTTATAAATAACATACATTTACTAAAAAACAGATTTTAAAACATTAAAAATAAATCTTAATCTAGGCACACGTAGTTCATTTGGTCAATTATACGACTTTGTTTTTAATGTAATTATTTCAGTTCATTATTCTCCTGGCTATTTCTCTATTTGGGGTCAGGCCTCCTGATAAATTAAGCTACTCTTGGAAGTTTTGCATCATTTCTAATGTTAAAACCATCGTCAAAAAATCTTGGTGCATGGTTCGAGCTCAGGTGATCGGTGGTCGTTCGTCCCGCTACGACAATGGCTATTATTTTTTTTATTATATTATCTACATTTCATCACGTGTCCATACTAAGACAAACAATTTTCTTTCATTCTCTGCTGTATGTCATGTCTTTAAACGTCCCTTGGATATATTCCTTGTGGACTTTGTCCTTAATGTATCTGGAATTTTAAACAATCCCATTAATCTTTAAACATAACGTAGATGAGATAAAGATGGATCGTCAGTTTCATTGCCATTCCATAAACAAATGATAATTTTTGCATTGGTCTGGATGAGCATCCTACTCTATCCTGCCTCTTTTGCATTCTGGCGGAATGTGGGATGATGGAATTCAATAGATGCATTTTTCAGGAAATTCTCAGAACTTTCCATAATATATTTTCAATTAACTATTAAATAAACACCCGATTCTGAGGAATCAGAATTCACGTCAGAACAATTATGACATAAAAATGTTCCGTCTTGACTATCAGGTATATGCATTTGATGATGTCCTGGCACGCAGTCTCTATGATATTTTCCTTTGCAATTTACACAATTTAGTATATCAGCTTCCGAGTGTTCTTCGCATACTACACAAATGTTTTCATTACTACTAACTGAGGAAACTATATCGAATTCTTCATCTTCTAAATATTCTATGTTATCAAAATCATTATTGTTTATTTGTCTCGTGAATTTACTTGGACTTTTAACTTGTAATGATTTCTTTTCTGTCATATTATTATTTGTATTACTTATTAAAATAGCTGTTGACGTAGAAGGTATATTAAAATCTACATTTTTTAAATTAGCTTCTTCAACAACAAGTTTCTTCAATACATCTTCTTTTTCATCTAAGGGTTTCAATGGTGTTACAATTCGCATTCCTGTTTTACAAATTTGAATATTTTTCAATGTTGTACGTAAAATAGATTGTGTATCATTTAAAGAGTGCTCCATATTCGTGTTTTTATCAAACGCTGTTTCCGGAACTTGTCCATTATTTGCAGTTATATATAAAAGTGATTTCCCATTTCCTAAATTATTTTCACTATCACTCATAGGATTGCGTAATAACACATATTCTTTATTATTTGTTATGCCCGTTTTACTAACAGCAGTATTACTGGGTAATTCTTCGACAGTTACACCCCCGGTACCCAAGTATATTTCATCGATTACTATACTTCTTTCACTGTCATTTTCTTCATGTATCTCCTCATCTCTTACTATTGTTTTTAAACATTTATAATTTATTTTACTATGTCTAAAAGGGAATAGCCCTAATACTTTAAATCGTTCAATAAGTGTTGCTTTATCCAAAGATTTTAATAATGATTTATGCATTTGCGGTGCAAAATTATAGTCACTGACTTTAAGTTTTGACATTTCCATCCACGCCTTAATTATTGGTCTGTAAGTAGCTTCATCAATATTAATTATTTTATCAGCATATGGATAAAAAGCTACTAAATGTATATCAAACTTCTTGCATAAATTCGTAATATCAATGTTTAGAGGCACTCTGCCATCTACAAATAGTATTATAGGAAAGGTTATTGCAACTCTCTTTAATTGCGCATACAATTCAGAAAGATATTCTAGAAAACATGTGGCCGTTATTAAACCATTATCACTATTATTACTAATCCATTGTACTGGCATCCAGTTTGTTAACTTCCGTGTAATATTTTTAAACGGATAAACAAGATATGGATTACAACAAAAGCCATTTGCTGAGAACGTGAACATAACTGTGAAGTTTTCTACCAAAGCAGTTGTAGCATCTAGACTTTTATCGTAATTACAAAGTGATATTTTAGGTGATATATTAAAATTAGTCTCATCAATTATAAATAAGCGTTTGGGATCACGTATAACCTTCTTTAAATTATTTGTATTTATGTATGAGTTTACGTTTTCGAACCACTGTTTAACCTCAGCCTCTGCGTCCTGTGATTTAGGTATTTGTGTTAGAATTGGGTGTCGTTTTTCAAAATCTTCTATCCAATCATCTCCAGGTATGTTTTCTGGAAACGGATTCGGTCTTGGTAGATCGTTGAGTAACTGAACAATGAAAGACTTAACATCGTCTTTCTTTCTTGGGAACCCACGTTTCCTCTGCTCTGTAATCCAATCGACTACAATTTTTTCTTCTTCGTTAGAAAACACTTGTAGTGCTTCACACCTGGTTTGACCAAGAGCCCTTAGTTTTTTTGTATCTCTTTGCTGCTTATAATAAGAATAGCGTAATTTTTTGACGGAATCTAATGCTTTTTCCATGTATCCTTCTTTATATTTGCTTCGTTTGCTGATCTTAGACAGAGTGACCTGTAACGAAGAGAAAATATAATACATATTTGAGCAGCGGTGTCGAACATTCAAGAAACCTCCGTTATTTATGCCATATTGATGCCAAACTAGCATAAAGCTTTTGGTAGTAAACGTTTATCATAGCGTATAGACGTCAAAACCACGACGGCAGTCACGTATGCTTTGTGACCCTTAAGAATCCTTAATATATTCTTTTTGAACCTCATGCTGTAGTCTCCAGAGAAAATCTAGACAGAAAGTCTTTTGATAGAGAATAAATCTCAATTTCAAATTAAAATATAAGAGAAATATAGCGAATTCTCGTAGATCTTGTATACTTAAATAATAATGGGAATTTAGTATTAAATAAATATGGCCTTAGATATAAATACATGGTTATATTATAAAGGAATGTATGAATGAAACTCTTTATTGTTCTTCTCACAGAATATACATATATAATTATGTATAAGAAGCTAAAAACACAATAATAAATAAGGCCAGGAGGTAGCAACGGGCGGTCTTATCGCTAAAAAATTCAACCATCATCCAATGGACTATATAGATGGTCTAGCGGTTTAGCACGCTGTCTTACTTTCCGATGATCACATGTTTGATCCTCTCACAATACAATATTTGTACAATATTCACAAGTAGGTCCGATTGTCTGTTTATTTTGCTTAAACTCCTTCGAATTTTATATATAACGTATTTATTTCCTGCTGAATGACTTCTTGGGAATTCCTGGATAACTCCTTGAAGATAGACGATCCGTGGCTTATGCATATGCCGAGACTTTTAATTTATAAGTTATTCCCAATAATATTGTCTCCTGTACAACGACAAACTTTTCATTTAACTTGTAAAATAATAATTAATACGTGATATTTAACAGTTTATAAATTCACTTTTAATTACATTCATATTTAAACATTTTGTAAACCTTACTATTTTTTTTAAAGTAATGATGACGATAATGTGCCTTTAGGACACAGGGACATATATGGGGAAAATGGTTGTTCAGTGGACATATACGGTTGTCCATAGGACATCCTCGGGAGTCCAAAGGTACTAGGATACTAGGTAAAATAAATAAAGATACTAGGATTAAAACCATCTGTATTTTTTCTTTTTTTTGTAAAAATCAACAATATGACAATAATTATCAGTTTTATTATATTTTTTTACGAAATAATCAACAATACAATAATGAACAGATCTATAAACGTGACACTTCTTACTAATTAACTTAAAACATTAACAATGAATTAGACATTATTTCCTGCAGAATGGACGGAGAGCTTGGAGGCGCATTCTCAATTATATTCTCAACAGCGATTTCTCTGTGAGTGTTTGTGTAGCTTCCATGTAAGTTTGCAGATTTCTTTATCTTCTGGCAGCATTCTTGAAATTAGTTTTTTATTCCTATGGTAGCTTTCCATTTTTTTCTCATTCGCTCAGCTAATTTCTGCTTGCTTTAAGTTTCTCTATAGCGTCTTGATTTTTCTTTTTCCGTCAAACCATTGCCTAAAAATAATTTAGAATAGAGAAATATTAGACTATAAAAATGTGATAAGTAAGCTAACACACATCAGGAAGTACGAAATTGAAATTGGTCAAAATATCAATCAAATTTATATTAAACAATAATTAATGCTCTAAGCCAGCGATCTTCAACAGTTTATAAATGAAGGGCCAAAAACATTTTTATTCTGCACAGCGCCGCACCATAGACATTTTTATAAGGATTTTTTTATTTTATATTAAATGCACTTTTTATTACTTAATTGTTGTCGCTATTGAGACTGGGCCTGTGCTGTTGGTAGGCCGCAGAAAACACACCAGCAGGCCGCGGGTTGAAGACCCTTGCTCTAGCCCTTGTCTCATACAAGGACTAGAGCATTCATTATTGCTCTTTAGTAACTAATTATTGAAAGAAAAAGTATTGCTTTATGTGGATTCTATCATTATTGGTCTGTGGACAACCAAAATTCCCCACAGCAATGGTTTTGGTTGTCCATGTGACTGGTTGTCCTAGTGACATTTATCAGTCTTTGCGCTCCATTCATTCATTCATAATTTAAGAGCTACGCTCTTGTCGGTGGAGCTCTTGCCACTTTCTGCGATCTTCCATCATGCTCTTTAATTCTTGATACGACACGACTCCCATTTTGTCCTCAGTTTGTTTGATGTAGCTATTCCTTGGTCTTCCCCTCCCCCTCTTTCCTTCTATTTTCCCTTCAATAATAATTTTGAATCGATGAAATCATCGTGCCGTATCAAGTGTCCTAACATTTTTCCTCGTCTATTTTCTATTGTGTTCAATATCTGCCATTTTTCTTTTACCCTGTGTAGTACTTCTTCGTTTCTTACTTTATCTTTCCAGCTAATTCTTTCCATCCCTGTTAATAATGAATAAATAATGATATTTTGAATTAAGTCAGGCGCAATGAAAAATATAGATTAAATAGAATATATTTCAGTTCAATTTACTACGATATATCGGATACTTACGTTTTTGTGCTGGTTGTCCGGTAGACACACAAAAAAGCCACTCATTTTTTCAAAACACACTGGGCCGATTGGCGTCGCGGCAAAGATGAAATCAAAATGGCTGCTGGATGAGTGTTGTCACTAAATTAATCGACGTGTTCTCAAGGCACTGATCACATTTGTATATTGGTTTCGTAACTTTTTTGCCGTTGTCCAGTGGGAGTCAGGATATTCTGATATATAAAATTCTCGTGTCACAGGTTTCGTACTCCTCCGAAACGGCTTGACCGATTCTCATGAAATTTTGTGAGTGTATTGAGTAGGTCTGAGAATCGGCCAAGATCTATTTTTCATCATCCTAAATGTTAGGCGTAGTCCACCCCTACATTTTTATTTTATTTTAAGGCAAAACGTTTGCCGAGACAGCTAGTAAAGCTATAATATACATAAATTAAATACACACATGTAAATATAAGTAAAATATAAATTATAAGTTTATATATAAATTTTACATTGATCACCCACTCACTCACACATATACACACATACACAACACACACACACATAAACACATGCTCAATGCACTCCACGTTTAACTTAAAACTAGATGTATAACAAGTTTATATGAAGGAGAAACCTGATGTCTAAGGTACAGGCTATGACTGAATTTGGGCTCCAGATTTCCCACAAATTATATTTGTGATTTTTATTGTTGGCATTTATGTAATAAAACTGGAATTATGTAATTTGTGGAGATGAAATAAAATTTATTTATTATTATTTCATCAATTTATTTAAAATATTGAAACTGTCTATCTGTACGACAACTTTACGGCAAATAATCTGCGATCTAATTACCATTAAAATATAGAAAACCAAAAATGATACGAGATGTTACATAAAATGAAGATACTACCGTTAAATGTATTAAAAAACTCTAATTAATATTAATTTCCGATAATGCCACAACACTATTTAAAAAATGCAAACCCTGGCAACATCGGAAATGTCAAATTTGTCTCCGGGATTAAGAAACAGACTATAGTTAGATTTTAGCTATGAATGAAATTATAGCAAATGAATGAATACTATAATTTTTATAACCTCAAAACAACAATAAGTTTTTGTTCCTATAAAACATAGATATATGTTAAGAAACATTCTTCTTGAATCACTCTATCTATTGCTGAAAACTGCATTAAAATCCGTTGCGTAATTTTAAAGATATAAGCGAACAGACAGCGACGGCGACTTTTTTTTATAATACAGAGTATAAATGTTCAAATACGTCACTACATAGTATAAAACAAAGTCGCTGTCGCTGTCTGTCCGTACCTATGTATGCTTAAATCTTTAAAACTACGCAACAGATTTTGAAGCGGTTATTTTAATGGATGGAGTGATTCAAGAGGAAGGTTTATGTTTAGTAAATAGTTATAAATTTTAAATCGAATATAAAAATACTCACCGGTTCTTTTTTACTCTTCATTTTTCTCCCTTTCTTTTCTCTTTTCTCCTTCTTCCTAGTCTTCTCAGTTTTCAATTGCGACAGTTGCACGTCATCGTCGGAAGTTCCATCTTGTTCTTGAGATAAGTTGTCTGAGAAGTGTGATTCTTCTATGTATTCTTCTTCCTTTAGTATAAAATCTGGAAAAAATAAGAATAAATAAATATATATTGTATTCACAGCTATTATCCCTGATGGGGTAGTGGCGTACAAGAAAAATTGTTTTTTATTTCGACGGCCTCAATAGTATATCGGTTCAGCATATTCCAATGGTCGCGGGTTCGATTACGCGTACGGTACAAATAATTATATTAACATGTATGATTGTACATTACTTGTCTAGTACCCATAACCCACACTGATGGGTTTGTACAAATAAAAAAAAAACAAATGTAGCGACTAGTATCCCAGATGATTCAGAGGCACTGTCAACTGTAAACATGATGGTGACATGTCCACATTGCATTTGGGTATATTTAAATACAACATGACAAGTAGGGGGGTACTAGAAATGTGGACTCATGACCCCCCTTTTTGGTGGTTTGAGGTACTAAGGAGCCGTTCAAGTATTACATAACTAGATTTATTACAATTATTTATTTTAATTATTTTAGGGGAGGGGCCCTCCCTCATCCCCTTTATCAGCAAAACTAAGAAAAGCTCTTACCGCCTCCCTCATACTTACGTAAGCATTTTTCAATTAATGTATTTTTTTTTAACAACGACAATGTGACGGTTGCCATTCGTGTAAAAAAGTAAATAACTACCACAATGACATAACCGTCTGGACTCCCCCACCCCCCATGTCATCCAAAATAAGCAAAGTAAGGTCCCCCCGCCCCCCATAGTGCTTACGTAATACTTGTATAGGCCCTTCCCCCCTTTTTGATGGTTTGGGGTAGTAAACTACTAGGCTATGATGTTAACAATAAAAAATAAGTATAGTAATATAATAATAATAATATAATAATCTCAAGACAATTCACACAGCGCCATCTAGACCCAAATTAAGCTAGCTAAAGCTTGTGTTATGGGTACTAGACAACTGATACATATACATAGATATTTTTTTGTAAATACATACCTACATATTATACATAGAAAACACCCAGACCGACACAAACAATCATATTCATGAATACAAATGTTTGTGCCGTGCGAGGAATCGAACCCGCGACCATCGTACGTAAAGCGGTGTGCTAAACCACTAGACCACCGAGGTCGTCAAACAAGTAGTACATTAAAACCAACCTGGATCATCTTGGAATGCTTTATCCTCCAACTTTAGGTCTACGTCCATGTTGAAATCATTATCTGGCTCTGAAGTACTACTTTGTTCTATAGATATGTTATCCAATACACCCACAGTAAGTTGAGTGGTCGCAAATGCTGTGATGTCTACTGGCGAATTGAGGAATGTATGCTGCAACAAAATATTTTTTTTAATAAGGACAGACATAATGTAGGACATTGGCAAACTGGCATATGGCCTGAAGGTGAACGGCTACCGTAGCCTATGGACGCCTGAAATACCAGAGGTGTTCACGCGTTGCCATAATCATATGTCATAGATAAAACATTACTTAAGCTTTTGCTAAATAAATGTTATTAGAAATAGAAATAATCTTTATTCAAATAAACTCATTACAAGCACTTTTGAAATGAAATGAAATGAAATGATATTTATTCAGTAGAAAACTAAAACACACACATTAAACAAACAAAAATAAATAACAAATAGTGCGAACAACTACATACAAATAACAGTACACAAATTACGTATGTGCGAGTGTGCGTGCATGTGTATGTTGTCTTAGTCCACTGAATAGGTCACACAGCATAATGCTGCATGGGAGCGCTGCAACGCTGTTTTTCAGCACAAGACCTGGGGTGGTGTATTGCCGTGTTGTACACGATTTATGATATGATACAATACTTAATATATAATAAATTAGTTTACGTGACTTTTGAATAGTCATATTTTGATTACTCATTCAGAATGCAGATTCATCACAAGAAGAATGAGCAAAAAACTTGTGTGTTGCTCTTTGTAATAGATGTTTTTTTATATAAATAATTACAATATAATTATTTTCTGACTGATTAGAGATTAGAGTGTGTAACGGTTTCTATATTGATTGTCGCATGCCTAATCCTTGTTAATGTAAATCTAATTAACAATATTTCTTTAAAATAGAAACACGCGCGCATTCTTCTTATGTTGAATCTGCATTTAAATAAATAAAAAATGTGACTATTCAAAAGTGCTTATATTAATTAAGTTTATTTGAATGAAGAATATTTCTATTTCTGCACATCTTAATATTAATAATGTTATAAACACGAAAGTTTGTGAGTAGATGTTTCTTAGTCTTTCACACAAAAACTGCTGAATGGATTTTTTATGAAACTATACTGTGTTATACTGATGCATTTTAAAAAATATTTATGCATCAGAATAATATATAGGCTATATTTTATATTGAAATTGAACACAGATAAATGCAGCACAGATATATTTGTTCATATATATTGTACCATCGTAATACAGATTATTATATTAGAGTATTAGTTTCTATTAAATTTCACTTCCCCCCCCTTATCTATGACAGAACTTTACGGCGGCCATGACGCGCGCGCATTATTTGTATATTAAAATAAATTTTGAGTGAAACCTACTGTGAAACTAGAAATTAGCGAAAATATCTTCTAGACCCTGAAGCCCACTCAGAAATCCGCAGGTACGCGATATTTTAATTCATCACAAATGTATTTTCCCTAACAGTATTTATATCGTCATTTTAAAAAATATTTACTCGAAGTACAAAAATATTAAACGTGGCAGATAAATGCAGTAGATATACATATACATATATATTGAATAAATAAATATGTTACTTATATTATATTCAAGCTATATTAAATTACACAAGAGTCTTTCAATAAACACTTTTATGAAATTTTATAGTCCCAAGCTAAGCAGAGCTTGTGTTATGGGTACTAGACAACTGATATAAATACATGGATAAATTTTTTTTTTAAATAAATACATATTATGGTAGAGAATGCCATATGGTAAGCTCGCCTATTTGTACAATTTTTAAAAGTGCAATAAAGAATACATATTATACATAGAAAACATCCAGACCGATACAAACAGTCATACTCAGGAATACAAATGTTTGTACCGTGTGAGGAATCGAACCCACGACCATCGGATAGTAAAGCGGTGTGCTAAACCACTAGACCACCGAGGCTGTCAATATTGTATATATTAGTTTATAAGTTTTCTTTTTTATTCTGTACTATGATGCTTAATAAATTATTATTATATAGGAAAACAATTAGTAACCTGTTTTGAGTATTCAATGAGGACATCATATGACTTCAAGATTTGAGCTTGAAAGCGACCCACTGCTTTGACAGCAGCCAGGCATTCCCAGCACACCTGGATTGAGAGGCCATCAGGAACCTGGAATACAGTATTGGAATTTTTTATTAACTTGGAACAATTCATTATCTGGGGATATGGGAAAGAGATTGTTATTCAACAATCCTCAGTATACTAGTGGCAAAAGATACACCAAGTACTTCCAACAGTGCATGTTCATATAGAGAATGGTACACAATTTTGTTTTCATTACCTAAAGCCATCTAGTACTCTGGTTTCACTGAAAATCAATGTTTGTGCAGTACAGTCTAGACACAAAGTTGAGTGGTCACCAATTTGGTTGCAACTGTATTTGTTTCCTATAAACCACATGGATTAAAAAGAAAAAACAAAGAAAAAACTCTTTATATGTATAAAAATTACATGTCACATTGTTTGTCCACGATGGACTACTAACTACTGAACTGATTGCAAATTTGATTTGCACATTGTGTGCAATTCAATCCAGCTTGAAAGATACCCAATCTTTCAAGCTGGAGCTTACATCTCAATTTTTAGTCGCAATATTATTTTATTCAAGAACCGTAGCCTCAGCAATGTGTGACCAGGTCTGCTAATATATTTAAATGGCACAAACATTACAAACATGTAATAAGATATTTCAACAATCATTTAAACATTTAAACATGCAACACATTTTAATGCAGTTTTCAGCAATAGATAGAGTGATTCAAGAGGAAGTTTATATGTATAATATATCCTTGTATAGTGTAGAATAAGCAGAGAAAATAAAATATTGCACCCTATCTTTTCATACCCATATTGACGAGCAATAACAGCAAAAACTAGATGATTCTTTTTGTAAACGTTAATGACGCGAAATGTTTTTTTTTTTTTTTTTTAATCTATTAAATAAATGTATATACGAATGTTAGTTACAAATTAGTTAAAAATCTAAATAGATACTTAAACATTAGAATCTTTTTAAATGTTTATTGAAAAAATACTCATTTCCCTAAGAAAAGACTATACTACATGTAAGGTCTTTGGTTGTACAATTTAAGTAATATTATTGGTGTAGTTTTATATATTTTATAATACAAAAAGCATCAAATTAACAATTCTCAGCTGCGTCGCAGTCGGCAAACAATAAAAAAAAATGTATGGCGTTTCCAATGATTTTTGTTCTTGTTTACATATTAAACTTATGGCTTTTTAACATGAAGTACACAAACATAATACCAGAATATAAGAATTTCGTATTTCTAATACGTTTTCGGAGATAATACATTGATATTTGTTCATACTTACATCAATATTGGCGATAATCTTGAAACAAATTTTTATTTCTTCGCTGTAAAACATCTTGCGATTGTAATTTAAACAACCGACACATATGCCGTTCACATTGTAACCCTCTATATTAATATCTATTTCGCCCATTTTGTTATTTTTCAAAAGAATTATTCAAATAAGTTTACAAAGAATAGAAGCTTCATAGCTTTCTTTCGGCCATTTTGTTTGTTAAGCACTTTTTTTTTTAATTTTTGGACATTGTTGACAGTTTGAATTATACAGTTGGCAGTCATGGTAATGTAATGTTACCAGTTTGAGAATTTTAGCGGTAGGTGGAGGAACTATAAATATATTATAACAATTCTAAACTACATGTATTCGATCAATTTCTTTTCAGATTCAGATAATATTTGATGATAATATATCTATATACCTTTATTTTAATATTCACCAGAATCATCCACATACTGAGAAACGGGAGATAAATATGGGATTTTTACCCACTAAAATCAATATCTGCGTCTCGCGTCGCCTAAAAATACCTACCACGATTCAAGCAATGACAGTCGGCCTTGTAGGTGTTATACTAACAGCTATAACTACGTACTATAAAGGTATAATAATTATAGTGTAGCGAATTAAAGTGTGAGTCTTCAAATTATATATCAAGTAAACGTCGACTTCTTCAAAATAATACAAGCTTGGTCAAAATATTGTTATTCTTTATTTTTATAATGAGTCAAATGGTCACAATCTTTTAATTTCTCAGCGGCTTGCTCTGGTGTTAAGTCCCGCTGAGGTTGCGCTAGTAATTCGTAACCGACCATAAATTTCTTGACACTGGCTGACCTCAGCAATGGTGGTAAATACAAAGCGTGAAACAACCAATGGGGAGAATCTCCCACAGATTTATTTGGGCCTGTTGGTGCACCTGTAATAAAAAAAAAGTTGTGTCATATGCCATATTATTATGACAGCGGGAAACTCCAAACAAGCAGTTACTGGCCATTTACTCACTATATGAAATAAAAAACACACTTCAGTCTATTTTCATGGCTGACTAAAAGTATTTTCTCGATAATACTATAGGGTCATATATTACGTAAGTATAATAATATACTTATAAAATCTCGTGTCTTAGTTTTTGATAACGAATTCCTCCGAAACGGCCCACGCGTTGTTTTTATGAGATTTTTCGTGTTTATTTGATAGATTGAGTAAAAAAACTAGCTTCTGAATATCTGAAACACCAAGGGTGTCACGTGCGCGCAACTATCCCTTAAGAAACTTTAATACACTCTTGAAAACCTTATTTTGTAGTCTCTAGAGAAATATATAAAAATACCGATCAACACAGCTCTTATCAAAGACACCCACCCAATTCAAACGGGGATTGAAATAACGACGGCTCGAGCCAAGGTTCGAACCCTTAGCGGTACCCTCAGATACTCGTATCCGTCAGCCGGGAGTTGTTCTTCAGCCGCTCCATAAGTCCTTTTGATTTGGAGTGTCATCTGCACTCGCCTCCTATCGGCTTGTGAAGCTGTAAAAGCCAGCTGCAGCCAATAACATTAGTCTGAAAAAAGTCTCTCACACTCACCATGAAAGCCCATGCTGTACGGGAAACTGCAGTTGAATAAATTGTCATACTTCGTAGTCAATTGTTTCATTATCACTGCCAACCCTCTTTTTTGATCGTCGTTAAGATCCGTGATGCGTTGTGGACTACCCTTTATCGGTAGTAACATGGTTTCGAATGGCCACTCGGCCCAATAAGGCACTAATGCGACCCATTCGGAATTCTGTATCACGATACGTTCCTGTAATAGAATTTTTATGATGATGATGGTGATGATATCATCATCATCATCCTCAATCCACTGTAGAATTGGAGCGGACTAAGGGGTCTCATATATGACCGGCTATGACAAAGACAGCAGGGGTTAAAAACCTTACCATTTTAATTTGAAGAAAGTATTACATCTGAATGTAGAAAAGGGCAAAGGAAGGCCTAAAGAGATGGATGGACTATGTGAAAGATGATATGGTAAAAAAGGGAGTATGTAATGAGATGACTACGAACATGGATGAATGGAAGAGAAAAACAAATTACGCCGACCACAAATGAATGGCATAGGGAAGAAGCAAATCATGATTCTTCTTACCTTCTTCTCCATCTCCATCTGCAGATATTCAGCTAATAACACTTTACCATATTTGGTATAGTACTCCATTTGGCACCTGTAATGATTTCAAAGGATAATAATTAAAAAAATGTATTTGCGTATTTTTATCTAGTACCTGTAACATAAGGTATGCTTAACTTGGGACTAGATGGCGCTGTGTGAATTATCCAGGGATAATCCCTTGGGTTACCATTTTATTAAAAAAAAACGATTATTTATTTATTTATTTATTTATTCTTTATTGCACTTTTAAAAATTGTACAATTTGGCGAGCTTAATGCCATATGGCATTCTCTACCAGCTAACCATTAGGTAAGAACAGAAAGCGGTTGATGGGCAGTGGTGGGAAAGGACTAACCTATAATTTTACCTAATATAGGTAAATAGGTTTTCTTAAAAATAATTACAAATATACATACATAAATATAAATATATACCTACTATAATACATAATAATGATACACCAATAAAATTTTATACACCAATAAAATTAAAAAAAAAAGAGAAATTTACATATATATTATGACAACAATAGATAATTAAGAACCGTTTTGTTCATTCAAGAGATAATCAAAAATTTTCCGTTTGAAAACAGGCTTACTCTGTGCTTTGCGCAGGGCTACAGGCAATCTATTCCAAAGACTAATAGCAGTGACAGTGAATGAATTAGACATAAATCCAGAATGGTGTGAAGGAGTTGAGAGAAGAAGGGTGTGGACCGAACGAAGATTAAGAGAATGGGAGTCACTAATGAACTGGAATTTGTCTTTCAAATATAAGGGAGAGGAAGTGTCATAGATGATAGTAAAGAGAGAACATAGGATGCGCAAGTTTCTGCGGTTACGAATATTTAACCATTTTAATTGGGATCGAAATTTAGATACGTGGTCATATTTACGTAGTCCAAAGATGAACCGGATACAGTTATTAAGTAAACGATCTAACTTATTCAACTGTTCTTGGGTAAGATTGGTAAGACACACGTCGGCATAGTCAATATGCGGAAGTATTAGAGATTGAACGAGAAGTAATTTAGTAGAAGACGGAAGAAAAAATTTAAAACGATAAAGAGCGCGTAGAATGCCTGTAACCCTGCGACAAATCTCAGCCATTTGAAAATTCCAACTAAGTGACGGGTCAATTAACAGTCCCAAATCCCTAACATTAGAACAGAACGGAATAATGCTGTTCTCACACTGCACATGCAAATTTGTCGTATTCATTTTAGCAAGAAGTCTTGAGCTGCCTATTATAATAGCCTGACATTTTTTTGGATTAACTGAAATACCATAGCGACGTGACCACTTCGATATGCTCTCAAGATCCCTATTGAGTTTATCCATAGCAGTAGAAATTTCATTTGGTTCAGTCTGAGCATAAAGCTGTAGGTCGTCCGCGTAAAGATGGTAAGAGCATTGAAGGTGAGGTGTAATGAGATTGATAAAGAGAGAAAATAGAAGTGGTGAAAGAATACCGCCTTGCGGAACACCAGTGTTTAGATCACTCCAGCCAGAGAGATCTTGCCCAGCACGAATTGCTTGTTGGCGTCCGCGAAGATATGAAGAGAACCACTCCAGTACCGACGGAGAGAAATTAAGACGAGAGAGCAATGCTAGGAGTAAGTCATGGTCAACACAGTTGAAGGCATTAGAGAAATCGATTAATACTAAGATGGTGAGGTGGGATTTCTCCATACTGTTACGAAGGTCTTCGGTTACTTTGAGTAACGCTGTAGTGGTACTGTGTCCCGGGCGAAACCCAGACTGAAGAGGGCTAATAAAGTTACAATTTGAAATGAAGATGGATACTTGTTGAAAAATAATATGCTCAAGAACTTTTGACAGGAATGGCAAGATTGAGATTGGTCTAAAGTGACTAGGAAGTGAAGGATTAGCTATCTTGGCAAGGGGAATTACAAATGCTTTTCTCCACAGTTCAGGAAAACAGCCATTAGTCAAAGAGAAATTAACTATGTGAGTAAGAACTGGGAGAATTATGTCTAACAAGAGAGTGATCATAGTTCTACTCACTTCGTCATGGCCTGTAGCGTTAGATTTAATAGACATAATTGTTTTGCGAATGCTCTCGTCGGTTACTGGAGTAAAGGTGAAAGAGTTGGTAGTCGACAAAGGCATGGAATTTATTTCCTGTATGGTGGACATTTTAATAGAGGTATCAAGAGGCTTTGCAGAGGAGAAGTGGATATTAAGGTCATCAAGTGGTACTTTTACATTAAAGGTGGCTGGCGCTTTGCCAAAACCAAGAGAGTTCAGGAATTTCCATATGTTAGCCGAAGAAGTATTTAGTACGTTTTTATGAATATGTCGGCGTTTAGCTGCTCTTACCACCTGATTACAGCGGTTTCTAGCACGCTTGAAGATCTGAAAATTTACTACGCTTCTTTCTTTTTTAAAGACTTGGAAAGCCCGATCCCGTTTCGCCATTGCCTTCCGAACATCCTCTGTTATCCACGGTGCAGGTGGACGTCGCAGCTTGAGAGTACGTAATGGAGCATGTTTATTAAATAGTCCTAATATCTGAGCATTAAATAGAGAAATTTTGTTATTGATGATCGAAGTTTCTAGTATTGGCTTCCAGTCTATACGCGCAGCATCGCGGAGTAGTGAGGTGATATCTATACGACTAAAATTACGCACGGAGGCAATGGTCGGTTTTAACTTAAGTGGCTTAATTTTGTAACATAGAAGCAGAAGGTCATGACGTGAGAAAGCAGGTGCTGATAACTGGTCATGCTCAACGACATAATCAGTCGAGGATGTACAGACAATGTCCAACCAAGAATCCTCAGTATCTATGTTGTGGTGAGTAGGCTGTAAAGGTAGAATAAAGAGATTCATTGAGTTTAAAATAGTTTTCAATTTACGTGTCTGTAATGAGTCCTTCATCAGGTTGGTGTTCAGGTCTCCCATAATGATAATATGTTTATAAGAACAGCTTATTAAATCTAAGGCAGCATCAAGATCAGAGAAATAATCCACTAGAGGTGGACAGTAGACTACACCAATGACCATTTTAATACCCTTAAAGTTTGCTTCTATGAACAGGTGCTCAGCGGTACCATGATAATCCGATGGAGACGATGATATTACTCTATAGGAAATAAAGCTACGTAGATAAATTGCAACGCCTCCACCACCCTTCCCCGTACGATCATTTCTGATCAAGGTGAAACCTGGTAATGCATATGTGATAGAAGAGAGTGTAGGTTTCAACCATGATTCAGAAACTAGTAACGCGTGGACGTCAGGTTCGGAGAACGTGTCAATCAAATCGGTATAATGTGCAGGAATGCTTTGTACGTTTATGTGGCATATGTTTAAAAATTTGGAGTTCTTAAATCTTTCCTTTAATAAAAAACCAATGTTGTCATCGCAAAATGAAGAATTAGCGGAAAAGAATGAAGAACTACTATCAGTTGTGGTCTGAAATGAGTCTTCATCTATTGGCATAATGTTGTTTCAATATTGAATAAGTAATATATAATATACAAATATTAAAATAAATAATATATACTATTAATATATATAAAAAAAGAAAAAATATATTATTAATGAGGTTCTTATAATTATACACCTATTTTAATTACAAAAACCAACGCTTTATGTCTTATTACCTGCCGGCGCGCCGTAACAAAAGTATGAATCAAAACATTGTAACAGATATTATTATACAGAAATAATCTAGCTACTATAATTTATACAGTGAAACGAATGAAGTAATATTGTATTAAGAATCCAGTTATGTCATATAAAAAAAAAAAAAAGAAAAAATACATTGTGGTTGTCAAAGTCACGTCAGATATACGTCAAATATCTTTCACATATAAATTGTAAATACAGAGTTTGTTTACGAAAAAAAAAAGAAGACTAAAATGTAAATATTTTATACGGTACTTACAAAAAAAGAATAATAAGTGTTATTTCGACGGTACTACGAAGGTTTAGCTAATTGGTAATGAGACAAAATTACTAAAGGGATGACTAACTAGACCACAATAAAAAAGAAACACAAATACAAGAAACAGTTACACGAAATTATAGCGTGTTAACGCTGGAATATAAAATAGAAAACAGTACAATGTATCATAGTTCATTTCTTGGCCAACCTTGCGGAGCGTTGCTTGGTAGCACCTGCAGTAGACCGACCGCCTGGGGCAGCCGGTGCCGAAGCTACAGAGACCGAGGCTGCAGATGTCTCGGCTGGTTTATGCAACACCATCAGTTTTTCTAACTCCTCTAGTGTGAAGACCTTTACACGTGAACCGTCTGGCAACTTAACGTTTATGACCCCATCCAGAGTCCAAACATTACGGATACCAAAATGTCTCCGAGCGTCAAGAAACAGTGACTGTCGCATGCGTGTCAGATATTCCGACAACAAATAAGGACTACCCTTAAAAAGAGATTTCTTGGCCCATACTGACTTGCGAAGGGACGGATCATTAAACCTTATGAGGATGGGACGACAACGGCCAGCCGAGGGAGAACCAAGACGATGACACACCTGAAGATTATCAGTCGTACAGTCCTGGATGCCAAGGTGTTTCACAATCACAGAGACTGTTGCAGCATGGGTATCCTCATCAGTCTTCTCTGCTATTCCCCCCAGAAGTAAAAACTTCTTTCGATGACGGGTTTCCACAGTATCCATGCTCACTATAAGAATGTTGATTTGTTGTCTCAACAATGCCAGTGATGTACAAACATGTTCACGAAAGCATTGGAACTCTTCACTCAACTGCTTTAAACTGACTTCTCCTGTTGGGGATACTTTAAGCTGTGCTTCTAATATGTTGAGGCGTTCATTAAGACTTTTCTCCATGGTGGCTTGTATTTTCAATACTTCCAAGATGTTTGCCATTTTGTGTGTGAGAAATAGTTAAATAGTGAGAAATGTGGTGGCGGCTTCAGACAGGTATTTAAGTTATTATTATTATTGCATAAGTCACTATATTAACTTAATTGAACTTTCACTATATATTATGTATTATAAATATTTTAAATAAATTAAATTATAGAGATAACAAAACACAGCTGTTGCTTTGTATCTGCCTACCCACGAAAAAGTCTATAGTAAGATTATATTTTGGTCTAGGTTAAAAAAAATTACCTCTCTTTAATTCTACCCTCATTTGGTAGAAAACTTGACGCCCATATTTGGCAATGAGGATGTGGGTTAGAACTTCCCATTATACTGCCTTTGTTCTCGAAGATTTGAACCCAGGAGTATTTTCTACCGAGCTCCTTAGTCTGGTTCACCCATCTATAACAAATATTATAATTATAATTTTCTTACATGTGTGGTGAATAATAATAATCTCAGGACAATTCACACAGCGCCATCTAGACCCAAGTTAAGCTAGCTAGAGCTTGTGTTATGGGTACTAGACAACTGATACATATACATAGATTTTTTTTTGTAAATACATACATATTGTTGCCGATGGCAACCTTTTTGATAGTTTTTATGTTTTTTATATATATTTGAATTTTATATTTTGACGTTCTGTTTTTATATACTATTTGTTTTCTTATGCCATATTGTCTTTATATTTTTGCTAGCGAGCTGATTACAGCTATTTTACCTCACCTAAGAACGTGTCTCATTTTTAACCAGTCCTTATACAGTCCTTCCTTCCGACAATGTTACGGAAGGAAGAATGGACTGTATTAAGGCTGGTTAAAAATGAGACACGTTCTTAGGTGAGGTAAAATAGGTGTAATCAGCTCGCTAGCAAAAATATAAAGACAATATGGCATAAGAAAACAAATAGTATATAAAAACAGAACGTCAAAATATAAAATTCAAATATATATAAAAAACATAAAAACTATCAAAAAGGTTGCCATCGGCAACATCCTCCCCAATTTAGCTGATGGGCAACCGCACCAGCTTCTTAGAAGCTCGACGTAGTGTTCCGCCAGCCGTTTGAACGTCGACGACACGTACACCCCCATCGTAGCCAGGATGGACCGCCGAAACTCTGCCTCTAAGCCAGCTACCTCGAGGAAGGTTACTCTCTAAAATTAGGACCAGATCTCCGACGCGTAGGGGACTAGAATTTCTATCAGTCCTTGATTTTGGTATTAAATTCGGCAGGTATTCTTTAAGCCAACGCATCCAAAAATGATCGGTAAGTCGCTGTACCTTTCTCCACTGCTGTCTTCCCACCAGGTCTCTATCAGAGAATTATGTTGTTAGTGTAGGTTGCGCTCCTGATGATGTACCCAAGAGAAAGTGCATTGGTGTTAATGCTTCTTCTGAGCCTGGTTGATCAGAGATATGTGTCAAGGGACGTGAGTTGACTAAGGCTTCTGCCTCTATAAGGAGAGTTGTCAGCATCTCATCAGAAACTCGTCGATCTTGTAATGTTGACTTCAGGGCGCACTTCACGCATCTAACTAGGCGTTCCCAAGCGCCTCCCATAAACGGTGCTGCTGGTGGAATAAAACGCCAACGAATGTTGGAATTGGCTGCGGTATTTAAAACACTCGAACCGTACAGCTCCCTCAATGTCCTCGCAGCACCCACAAAGGATGTCCCATTATCAGAGATAATTTCTAGTGGGGTCCCTCTTCTTGCAATAAAACGACGGAGGCTCAGAATTGCAGAATCAGTCGACAAACTATGTACTACTTCAAGGTGTATAGCACGAGTAGTTAAGCAAGTGTAAAGTGCACAATAACGCTTCTCAACGTGTCGACATACGGATACCCAGAGAGGGCCGAAGTAGTCTAAACCCACGTAAGAAAACGGTCTCTTGTGATGAGCAAGTCTTATTTCTGGTAAGTTTCCAACTGGTGTACTAATTGGTGTTGCTTTCTTTATACGGCAGATCTGACACGAATTAATAACAGCTCTGACCGTTGATCTGAGTTTCAAAATCCAGTATGACTGACGCAACTCATTAACTACAGTATCATGCTGCGCATGTGCAGCTTTTTGATGATAATGAAGTACCAATAATCTTACCGCATAGTCTTTACCATCAAGGAGGATCGGACTTTTTGTGTCATTGCTGACATTCTCTACTACATCTATTCTCCCTTGCAGTCGTAAAAGTTCTCCTTCTCCAAGAAATATGTCGATATTACCTATTCTACCACCTCGAGGTACTGGCAGGCCACAGCGGATTGCTGCTAGCTCTTCGGTAAAGGAAGATACCTGACTCTGACGTAGGATGTGATTCTCCGCCCGTTGTATCTCTTCAGTCGTTAAAGGAGGTAAGTGTATCACGCTGCTTGAAGCTGACGACCTCGCAGGTTGGGTGCGATTGCCCATCAGTTGTGCCCTTCTATTCGCAACATTGTACCTGTTGATGAGAAGAGTGATAAACTGATGTGAACGGGCAGTAGATCTAAGTAATCTAAGGTAACTACTAAAATGTATAGGAGAGGCTGCGATAGGTGAAAAGATGTCGGTGACATTTATGTAGTGTGATAATTTATAAGATGGTTTCAACTCCTCTATACATGGGAGAGTTGAGATGGATGGTTCGAGAGGCCAGTTATTTGGAGAAGACCGCAAGAACTCAGGACCGTTGATCCATCTACTTTTTTCAGTAAGGTCGCTGGGTATCGAACGAGTCGCGTCATCTGCTACGTTTAAGCTTGTAGATACCCAGCGCCATTTGGATATGTCTGAAAGTTCATGGATTTCCCCCAAACGAACAGAAACAAAGGTTTGATATTTTCGAGCGTCATTACGAATCCAACCAAGTACATTACGAGCATCCGTCCAGAAAACCCTAATATTAGGTTTAAACGCATGTGCCGAACATATCGTACGCGCAAGACGAGCTGCAATCAGTGCACTTTGAAGTTCTAAACGTGGAATGGTATGGACTTTATTTATGGGATTTACTCTAGCTTTACTGGAAACTAACATGAGCTGCACATTTCCATCAGAGTACGTAATACGCCAATATGCTACTGCTGCGCACGCGTCCTTACTAGCGTCGCAGAAAATATGCAACTCACGATGTTCTACATGATTTGATAGAAGATACCAGCGTGGGATTTTTAAAGTTAGAACAGACAACACGTCGTTATGCCATAAACGCCATTTTTTTAATAGATCTTCCGGCAATTCGTCATCCCAGCTGATACTTACACGCCAGATATTTTGAAATATTATACGTCCTCTAATAGTAAGAGGTGACAGTATACCCAAGGGATCGAATATACGCATCAAATCCGATAGAACAACCCGTTTAGTAAGTTTTTTTGGCAATTCTTGAACAAAATTGTTACTAAAACCGAGAGTGTCTTTATCTGGATGCCATATCAAACCCAATGTCCGTACGCTTTGGGGAAAGTGACCTAAATCAACTGAATCGACAGATGTCGACTGTACAAGACGTAAGTGTGGAGAGACGAGTGCTAAAGCAGAAGGCTCGTTCGAAACCCACCCACGAATTTCAAAAAGTGCTCGACTATGCACTTCGATTACGTCCCTCGCTACTTGAGACGCTTTCTCTATGCTAGGATGACTACCTATATAATCGTCCATATAAGTGTTATGAATAATAGCTTCCGCCGCGTCTGGATATTTGTTTTGATACTCTGTTGCATTTTTGTTCTTAATATAAATAGCCGCAAAAGGACTAGAAACTGCCCCAAAAATCATAGAACTCATCCTATAGATGCGGATAGGTTCGCGAGGACTGTCACGCCATAGGAAGCGTTGAGCATCCCTATCGACCTCTCTAATCTTTACTTGTGGGAACATCTCACGAATATCCGCGATTATTCCTATTTTGCCTTCACGAAACCGAAAGAGTATATCTATGAGAGATTGTAACAAATCAGGACCCTTAAGCAATAATGAGTTGAAGCACACACCGTCGCATTTCGCAGCGGCATCATGTACTACTCTTAACTTGCCTGGTTTATTGGGATTTGTGACTCCAAAGTGCGGTAAATACCAAAGGACAGACGATTCTGACACGTCATTCGTGCATAGTTCCGCATAACCTTTATCGATAGTGTCTTTGATATTTTTACGATAACTATCGGCGTATACAGGGTCCCTGAGGAATTTCTTTTCTAGTGCTGAAAATCTAGATAAAGCTAACCGATAACTATCTGGTACTTTAATATTATCAGACCGCCATGGTAAACCGACTTCAAAACGTCCTGTCGGTAGACGTCGGGTCGTATTAACCAAAATAGAAACGGCTCGCGCGTCTGCGGAAGAGGTAGACATTTTAGTACTTATCCCTATCGAATCTAATTCAAAATAATCTTTAATTAATTTGTCAATTTCTAAAGTATCAGAAGGTGTAATACAATAATTTACACAAACTTCTGAATCCGTCCCTGGTACATTCTTTGGCGAAAATGAGAAACCAAAAATGACCCAACCTAATTTAGTTAAACACGCCACGGGTTTAGAGGGACCATTCTCTCGAACTTGAGAAGGAAGTGATAAAAACCAATTATCTATACCTATAATAAGCATCGGTTGTACATTTTCGTAACAAATAACATTTTTCAAATCTGATAAATGAGAAAAACTTTCTAAGTCAATTGTACGTAACGTCTGACGTGACACACCCAAACTAGTAATGGAACGCACTCTACGTAATTTAAAAGGGTCACCGTCAGCATTACGCCCTTTAATACATATGTCGACAAACTCTACCTCAGACTGTTTTGAGAGCCCCCCAATGCATTCAACCTTGAGGCTAGCCTTTGGTCCAGATACCCCTATAGCATGAGAAATCTTAGAATCAATAAAGGTAGAGGTCGAACCATCGTCCAAAAGAGCGAATGTGTCGATACTACCCTTAGGGCCGCTTACTGTAACCGCTACTACTTTTAACAAGGGCCGTAAAGTCCTAAGCTCATTGAAAATCCGACCACTGAAAGAATGAGCAACTGTCTCTTTTTCATTTGTATCGTCCGTCCTCGTTGATGAACAACTCGCGGGAGTCAAGGAGCTCTGCGTTCGGGGTTGGTCTTCCTCAGGCACCTCCTCTATAGTAACAAGGTTATTACTTACAGAGGACTCCGACACACCCGACGAAAAATGTAAAAGTTTATGATGTTTATATTTACACCCAGAAATATTACATAAATTCCCTCTAGTACAATATTTATATCTGTGTAAACCTTTCTTAAGGCATCTGTTACAAACTTTTTCATTTTTACACCACTCAAACCTCTTTTGAGGTGTGACAGAAAGAATTTTTTTTTTTTTTTTTTACATATTTCTATTACATGACTCCGCTGACAATAAAGACATGTTAATGTCTTGTC